TTTATTTCGGGGAAAACGGGAGTAGTAGATACAAATTCTCCGATAACTCTTACATAGATGTGATTTTATATGAGTAAAATTTGACCCTCACAGTCATAAGTCTTATAAGCACAATATTATGTTGTATATATTAACACACAACATAGATAAATATTTTCTTAAATATTGTTCATAAAAAAAGTCTGGTTTTTAATCATAAAAAAAAATCCAAACAAAACATGTAAAATATACGGCAAAACTGTATTCAAGTGTAATATATAGCGATGGGTAATTCTTTATGAATTAATTTTTATGGAAAACTTTCTTTGTATATCATTTTGCCTCCGAACTTGCAAATGAAGAAGAAAAAATCCTGGGGATTTGTCCCTCATTCTTTTCCATAGAATTGCAGTTTTAATTCACATAATTCTGTAATGTTTTACGCATCATTATTGTGTCTTTCAATTTAACATAAAACGAGCTAATATTTGTACTATATTCGAAGTCAACACCAAAAATCTTTAATTCTGCACAAGCATATGTCATCCTGTCATTGTTTTATTTTGACTTTACGTTCTGTTTTTATAACTTAACATTTTACTGTTTCAAGTCAAGACCAAACTACTTCAAATTTACATCGTGTAGTTCGAAGTCAACACATTGTATGATAAGCCTCTCGTGACGTCATAATGATATAACATCGTGCTATCTTAGGTCAACAACACGTACTTTCAACTGTACATCGTTAGTTTTGAATAAGCATATTGTATGGCAAGCCTATCGTGATATTATTATGATATAACATCGTGCTATCATAGCTCAACATCACATACTTTCAACTGTACGTCGTGTAGTTTTAAATTAACATATTGTATGGTAAGCCTATCGTGACATTCAAATGATATAACAACATGCTATATTAGTTTAACATCACCTAGTTTCAACTGAAAGTCATGTAGTTTTAAACGAGCATATCGTGTGGTAAGCCTATCGTGGCATTCTAATGATATAACAACGTGCTATCTTAGCTTAACATCACGTACTTTCAACTGTACGTTGTGTAGTTTTAAATGAGCAAATTGTATAATAAGCCTATTGTGACATTATAATGATATAACATCGTGCTATCGTAGCTTAACATTACAAAATTTCAACTGTACGTCCTGTAGTTTCAAGTGAGCATCTCAGCTTAACACGTTGCATCGTGTTGTTTTAAGTCAACAAATTGTATGGTAATTATTTACTTTAAATAAAACTTTCAAAGTTTGAATTGAATTGAATTGCAAATATAGATCATTGCTTTTAAAACAGAGACGTCAAAATAGCTAATAATCAGCTACTGATAACATGTGCGTAATGCAATTTTTTTTAGACATATATTCCATGGCTTTTATATGTGAATGATGACTTTTAACACCTAACCACTATCCAGTATCCTCAACAGTTATATTAGTGCCGACCGTTCCTATATTTATTAAGCTAGACATTGCTGATAATATCCAATATACATTTCGGCGAACGTATGAGTGCTACGTGTATATAATATGTAACATATTGCATGCGACGTTTCTGTAGATTTTACTATTTTCACTGGATATAATATCTGTTGATATACAATGTGACGGTTCTGTGTATATTACAATTTATCTTACCTCCTATACATTTCTAGAAATATTATAAGCGACCGCGTGGATACCGTGTTAATTCGCTCTCACCCCATATGGAATTTACTGACCCCATATTCATAGGCTGATCCAATTGGGGGGGGGGGGGGGGGGGGGGGGGGGGGTGAAGCATGATTGTAGTGGCCCCCTCTTATGGCAGTTAGTGGACCCCCGTTATAAAAAGTTCTGGATCCGCCACTGTTATTTCTTTATCGTATTAGGTCACTAGCGCACTGTGTAGCTTATAATATTTATCCATATGTTGAAAGACGTGCATAGTGCCAAATCATAAAAATACAATTATTTGAGTCTCTACGAAAACCAGTAACTTGGGTACTGTGACGTTACATTCTGGTTAATAGTGTTTGTGCATGTGCAACGTTTTCCGGTGTAGGATTTATCCAAATTTTAATTTTTGAACAATTTTAATGTGAATATGTTAATTTTAAATTGATCCGTATGGACTATTGAGGATATTGTTCTATAAACCATATTTTGTGCAGGAAGAAGACGTCTGAGCAAAAATAATAAATAATTTGAATTGATTGTTGGGTACTGTTTATCTGGGTACTGTTTACTTTTTTTAGATATTGGAACACGAAATATAAGTTTTGATTTTCTGTTCTAAAAATTTCATACTTCTATTTTTTACATTTCTCTCATCCAACTTGACATATTACTTTCTATCACATTCTAGCATGTTTTCTGACACGATATCGAAAACAATGGCAATTGAAACTTTTAATACTATTCTAAAATTAATTTAACAGGTGTCTGTAACATGAACATGTAACTTAGGTATATAATATTCTGGATACTACCCATGTAAAATCAACAGGTTGGTAGAAAAACTTCACTGATTTGCATCTGCTACTTTGTTAAACAGTCTTCCGGCCCAATTCAGGACTGAAAAGGTTTTTTTCACAATTTAAAAGCCTTATGTTTCTACGCGACAATGGTAATATCGAAACGATTTTAGAACATACCTGGTAGTTCTGACTCTCGGGAGTATACTGCTGTTTCCTGTGATTTAAAATTATAGTTCTGAATTTTAATATTATTCAAATCATGAAGATAACTTGGACTTTTTTATGAATTAATTAAATTGTTTTTGTTGCAATAGTTTATATTCTCCTTATTTTTAAAGAAGGCAATCTTTATTATTCTAGCAGTTTTTCGTATGAACTACCATATATATCTTCAGAGATGAATCTAAGAGCTCTTTCTTGATTTTTTTCCATTAAAAAAGATTTTTTTCGTTACAGTAGTGCTAAATTACTGGCCAGTTATTATAGTTAAAATTTGAGAGTATGAATGAATAGTATGCTGTTATCCTGCCAATAAATATGAAGATGTGGTATGAGTGCCAATGAGACAACTATCCATCCAAGTCACAATGTGTAAAAAGTAAAAAATTATAGGTCAAAGTACGGCCTTCAACACGGAGCCTTGGCTCACATCGAACAGCAAGCTATAAAGGGTCCCAAAAAAGACCAGTGTAAAACAATTCAAACAGGAAAACCAACGGTCTAATCTATATAAAAAAACGAGAAACGAGTTTGAAACACTTATGAACCACACCAACAAACGACAACCACTGAACAAAAGGCTCCTGACTTAGGACAGGTGCATAAAAATGCAGCGGGTTTAAAAGTTTTAACAGGCGCCAACCTTCACCCTAACATGAAACAGTGGTATAACATTACAACATAAAACAACACGCAATAAAATATCATTTGAAATGGCTTAATATGATCAAAAAGACAATACACAAAAACAAGTAAATATGCACTGAACGAATAAGTTTGATCTATGACACAATATAAATAAAAAAGATGTGTCAATGTCAAAAAGACAACTTTAACCTAGGACAAAATGGCGTTAAATAAAGTAACGTACACAGTTAAAAATAAATATAATAATTTTGTTGTTAGGAGTACAGAAACATTTTTACAAAATAAATTAGTTATTCATGGTATGAGTACAGAAGTTAAATTTTTTTTTTCGTCACACTAAATACTTATCAAAGGTGGTACATATTAAAAATAGTAAGACGAGATATAACACAAATAAGTAAACATTGAATAAAAAAATGCATTACAAATTGTGTCAACAGGTCAAATTAACACGAAAGTACGATTTGAGAGTACTCGCAGTTACTAAAACTAATTAAAAGCCAAAAACAATTAATAATAAGAAATCATGAATCAGAGACTAAAATCAATTAAAACACATCCCAGGCAGGGATTTAGTGTTTTAACGCCATGGACAGTCAAAGAAGACATGACGTTTGCAATGCCAAAATAAAAGTAACGACAGGCAGTAGGATAGTTAGGAATAGCCTCTTTAAATAATTGCCTAATCGTTTTAGAATATTTAATTGTCTTGATGCGTTTTAACATATTTCAGATATATGACTGATTAGCCTTCATTAAATTCATCGAAAAACTATCAGTTTTTAAAATATCAATAACCTCGTCTATATCATAATCACTATATGCATATTTGTTCAAAAAGAAATTTGTCATTTTTGAAAACAATGAAAAGAACTGGACCAAGAATTGACATTAAGTCTTGTGGTACACCTTTAAATATCTGATCCCATTCTCTTCTGCCATTCACTGTACGAACTTTCAATTTTAATACGTTGTTTTGTCTGTTTTTCAAATAACTTTGTCATAATTTTTGAGATTTTTTTGACAGACCATATTTTAGTAAACGTAAATCGTAAATTTTTGGTGAAATAGTGACATATCAATATTCTTTTCTTATGTTTAATCTAATTTATTTGTCTACTCACAAACTCTACTGTTACAGGTTTGAAAATCAGTTCATTTTAAACAGTTTTTCTTTTCTTCGATTTTTATAATACTTGAATGATTTCTGTTTATTTTAATGTTTTTGTCTCCTAAATCTTTAGCTCCATTTATGAAAAATGTTGAACATTTCTGATACCTCTTTAGGATCTCCGAGAATTTTATCATTTCATATAAAAAATCATGTTATTGTTGTATAGTAAAAGTTAATCATACTAAAATCTAAAAAGTCTAGCTACACGCATTGCAGAAGCTTTTAGTTATTGAATTACTTTGAGATAGTCCCGAGAAACATCTGGATGACGCAGACTTTTGATACAGATGAAAATTCTCGCGAGATATCACGATGATCTAATAATGCTGCTCCCTTCCTGTCAAAGAATGAAGTTGATTGTTTAGAACTTTATGACAATATAAAAAGATTATGACAAAGCAATACATTAATGGCATCATAGGAAATTAAAACACACTTACATGTAACCTGTGCTTACTTATCGTTATTTATGTTACTCATGATTTTGAGCCATTTTTGTTCAAGCAGAACTCTGTCAACAAGGCAAAGATGACCCTCCGGATTCCGGACGGGTTTGTGTAGAAGCTAGTTTACAAACTATGGGAAATTCAGAAAGTACCCATGAATACAAAGGACACCACGATCTCAGGAATACAGCCATGCCTATTCGTCTACCCATGCCTGACTCAATGGAGTTGGAGCGAAGGTTCACTAAAGTCTTGGTAAGGATTCATGAATTATTAAGTCACAGTTTATATTATACACAATCTCTGTCTATGTGGGTACCTTGTGAAATCTCTAGGGCTTTATTACATGGGACATAGAACACAATTAGTCCAGAATAATATGACACAAGATTTGTTATGAAGAGCACACCTAAAACTAGTCCAAATAATTATGATGTCTTGAAAGGCTATTTTAATTTTAGTCTGTGACTCCTTCTTACGACCGTTCTATGAGGCGTCACAGCAAAAAATTAAAATAGCTTTAAAAGAAGTCATAATTATTTGGACTAACCTTCAACCTACATGTAACTACATTCTAAATACATTATACAACACCCCCAATCTCACAGTATTGATAATGTTTAATAGCTCTTTTGTTCATTTGTTGCATGGATCATATTAAGATTTAATTTCTTTTGGGATTCTGAGTTTAGAGCTTTGTCACAAGAGCTATCAAACATTGTACCAGTACATTTCAAACAGACAGCATCATTCCGTATACTAGACTTCATGAAAATTGTCAGTCCTGACTGCCAAATTTCACCAGGTCGGCCTTTTTCATGTCTGAGAAGGTTTGTTGTCCGATTGTTTTGTACAGATAAAAAGAGTCATTTTGGTTTGTTCCATCAACGTTGGTAGTTTGTCAAATCATTTTAGTTACATGTATTGTGGTCAGAAATCATAACCATAGAACCAGTTGAAGTATTTTCAACGGCAGCGTGGCGGGTTACCTTCGTCATAGGCATATGAAAATGCTAACGGCAGCAATACATTGAAGGACTTTAACATTGATAAAGTCATGAACAACTGTGTACATGATTTCAGAATTGAACCATATAGTTTTTTGTGAGGATTTCTTTATAAACCTTTTGGCAACAAATTATTTGTTGTACATTTTGTAATTGCTACTTATTTACTAGAAATTCGTGAATGACTGTTTGGCCAAAACCATGTTCATTTTATTCATTGACAAATTGCAAATTGCAAATGACAAATATTATATAAATAGTGGAACTGGACTCGGTGAATACACGATTTTTCTGTATTGAAACAATATTTTTCAAAAAGTATATTAAAATTCTGATCTACAATGTACATGTACAGCCGGGTGAGCCCTGAAGATTTTTGAAAAGGATACCCTTTAACTCTTAACATACATATTTGTATGTCTCTAAAATGGTTCTTTTTGTATCTTAATTTCATTTTCTGATGTTTTCCACCATAAGGAAAATTAGGTTATAATTTCCCCAAAAAATGAAGGACCATCAAATTTTTGGAAGGACCAGCAAAAGTTTGCTTTCTGTCAGTCCTTGGTCTGACAGATAAAAATGAAGTTTTGCCAACTCTGATACACTTCAAGCAGGTTACACTGAAAGTAAGTATGTACATGTACTGTTAAATTTTTAGAAAACCTTTTAAGAGTAGTTATAGATTCTTTTTGTAAATGAAGGAAATACTGTTGCTTTGAGACCTGTCATTATATTTTCTCGCCTAAGTGATGATGTTTTTGTAATTTGCATATATGAAAAAATTGTAAAGGAAAAATCCTAAATGTTTTTATATTTTGTGTACATGTATGTAAGGATAGTGTCAAAGGCGTCAGAAAATTCTGTTCTTTATATAATATCAATCATGTGACAAAAACTTAAAATAATAACAGTATGATGGGTCTCAAGAAGAATGATTTTTCATAGTGAATCTATGACTATTTAAGGTTTAAAAAATAATTAACTAAGCCGAAAGGAAAATATGTTTACTTTCAGGTCTTACCTGCTTCAGGCAGTGTACAGAATGCTGCTGTCTGTGTTTAATGCATTGTTTTATTAAAATTTTCCAGACTTTTTTGTCGTCATAATTAAGGAATCTGTGGGCAGCCAAATCAGGAAAGTGCCTCAACTGATATCCAAAAAGGGATTGTTATTTAACATACAATATATCTACAAACTACCAATATTTAAGGCCAAACAAATAAAAATTGTTTGTTTCCTGCTTCCAAGATGATAAAAACAAGTATTTCTGAGCATTTTAGGAGAGAATAATGCTACATGTGTAGATACACTATTTTGATTTGATAATTGCCTGAGTCAGTGCACGTGATTGACATTTATCCCGACATCTCCAAATGTGTTTTGATATTGCAAAGACACCTACAAATGTCTGTTTAGGTTGAATAATTATTATATTTATTTTTGCTTTTGATAATGTTTTTTATATAGCTATAAACAGAATGAAAAAAAAATGACTAAAAATTAGGGTCAGAGGGTATGAGACAGGTAAGGTCGGGAGGCAGGAAACAACCATATATTTTTTGTTGGTCTTAGTGAAAATTTGTCCATATTGAAAGAAAATTATATATGCTTATCACAGTGTCTTTACATATATCAGTGGGCTTTTATTATTATTATACCCCTTGCTTTATCTGAAGCAGGGGGTTGATGTACTAAATGTATGTACAAATTTGTAGAGATGAGGGAGTTTGTCTGTTTTCTCTTTCATCCCTCCTTTATATCTGCAACTTTAACCCCTAAGAATAGAATTTTATGAAACTTTCACAGAATCTTAAATACATAATAAACATTTCACCTCCCATTTCATTTCTTCATCCAGATGATAATCTTGGTTTACTTTGGCATGAGATTGACTTTGTCATATCTCCATACTACATGTACATGTATGATAAGTAAGGTTCAAAGACCCTGTCATCAAATCAACAAGAAATGTAATGAACCATTTGATGTAAGGCTATATGTAAGTTCTGTGGCCATGGATTATTGTTTAAAGCCATGATGTTGTCTTTACATCATCCAATTTTTATACGACCGCAAAAAAATTTTGCGGTCGTATATTGGTATGACATTGTCGTCGTCGTCCGAAGACACATTGGTTTTCACACTCTAACTTTAGTTTAAGTGAATGGATCTCTATGAAATTTTACCATAAGGTTCAATACCACAAAAGGAAGGTTGGGATTGATTTTGGGGGTTATGGTACCAACAGTTAAGGAATTAGGGGCCAAAAAGGGGCCAAAAATAAGCATTTTTGTAACTTCCAGACATAACTTGTGTGTTAGTGTATGGATCGCTCTGACATTGTACAACAAGGTTCCATATCAGAAAGGGAATGCTGGGATTGATTATGGGGGTAATTGCCTCCAAATTTTAGGATTTAAGGGCCAAAAAAGGGGCAAAAAACAAGCATTTTCCTAGTTTCATGAAAATAACTTGTGTGTAAGTGTATGGATCTTTCGGAAATTGTACTACAAGGTTCCATATCACAAAGGGAAAGCTGGAATTGAGTTTGGGGGTAATTGCCCAAAACGTTTAGGAATAAGGGGCCAAAAATAAGCATTTTTCTAGTTTCCAGACAATAACTTGTGTTCAAGTGTACGAATCTCTCTGAAATTGTACTGCAAGGTACCATACCACATAGGGAAGGCTGGGATTGAGTTTGGGTGTAATTGCCTCAAAATTTTAGGAATAAGGGGCCAAAAAGGGGCAAAAAACCAAGCATTTTTTAGTTTCAGGACAATAACTTGTGTGTAAGTGTATGGATCTTTATGAAATTGTACTACAAGGTTCCATATCACAAAGGAAAAGCTGGGTTTGAGTTTGGGGGTAATTTCCCTAAACGTTTAGGAATTTGGGGCCAAAAGGGGCCAAAAAACCAGCATTTTTCTAGTTTCCAGACAATAACTTGTGTTCAAGTGTACGGATCTCTCTGAAATTGTACTGCAAGGTACCATACCACAAAGGGAAGGCTGGGATTGATTTTGGGGGTAATTGCCTCAAAATTTTAGGAATTAGGGGCCAAAAGGGGCAAAAAAACAAGCATTTTTTTAGTTTCAGGACAATTACTTGTGTGTAAGTGTATGGATCTTTATGAAATTGTACTACAAGGTTCCATATCACAAAGAGAAAGCTGGGTTTGAGTTTGGGGGTAATTGCCTTAAACTTTTAGGAATTTGGGGCCAAAAAACAAGCATTTTTCTAGTTTCCAGACAATAACATGTGTTCAAGTGTACAGATCTCTCTGAAATTGTACTGCAAGGTACCATACCACAAAGGGAAGGCTGGGATTGAGTTTGGGGGTGATGAATCATAAGGGGGTTCAAAAACTTTGAGGGGGGATTTTTTTTTTCTTTTTTTTTCTTTAATATTTCCATTTTAAATTGGTTATTTCTTATTTATATATAAAAGCAAATAATAATGATATGGTTTGAATAGGTAAATTAAAATTTTTGAAGTTTTTAGACCACATTCATTCTGTATCAGAAACCTATGCTGTGTCAAATATTTAATCACAATCCAAGCTTGAATGTTGTGTCCATACGTGCCCCAACTGTTCAGGGTTCGACCTCTGCGGTCGTATCAAGCTGCGCCCAGTGGAGCATTTTATTATTACACATATACATCAATCAGAACTGTATCACGACACCATTGAATGTTCTTATTTTCCTAGACAGGCTGTTCCATGAACTATTTCAGTCTAAATTGATTCTGTTAGTAAATGAATTTATTATTGCTTCGTCATTCATACCCAGGGGAAACAGATTTGACAATCACAAATTAACTGGTTCAGTTGTCTATAGACAAAAATATTATAATGATTTTTGGTTTTAATGATCATTAATGTACATGTACAGTAGTTTTTGTAATAACAATATGACTTTTTTTTAGTTATTTCAAACCCTACCCTTGTTTTAGCCCAAAAAATCAGTGTCACACTGACCTGTGTGCCCTCATTCCTTTCTAGAATCAAGTTTGACAATCTTAGCAGCATGATGCAGTGTACACTTCTCGTGATTGATAAAGTTGAAGGTCATGCGACATTTTCATCCTTTTTTTCTAAGATCAAAATATTACATTGTAAGTTCATGAAAATACAGTGATATATTAAGTTTGAAGTGCTCATTGATTTTGGAGTAAAACTACATTTAACTAAAGGTAAAAACAAAATGTTCCATCTCATACAAAGTCCATTCGAAGTCTCTAATTGACACCCAATATGGCTGAAATATATTTCCAGTTCTAAGGTAATCTTTTTGTCTTTGTTTTATTCTCTCTAAATAATTGTATAAATGATTCTACTTGATTTGTCACAATTTAATGTTTTTATAAAGTTGTGAGGTCCAAACTAATGTTGGATTGGTTACAATACTGTGAGGTCTCAACTGGTATCAGATTGGTTATAAAGCTGTGAGGTCTCAACTGGTATCAGAACGGTTATATAGCTGTGAGGTCTCAACATATATTGGATTGGTTATAATACTGTGAGGTCTCAACTGGTTTCAGATTGGTTAAAAAGCTGTGAGGTCTCAACTGGTTTCAGATTGGTTATAAAGCTGTGAGGTCTCAACTGGTATCAGATTGGTTATATAGGTGTGCGGTCTCAACTGGTATCAGACTGGTTATAAAGCTGTGAGGTCTCAGCTAATATTGGATTGGTTATAATACTGTGAGGTCTCAACTGGTTTCAGATTGGTTATAAAGCTGTGAGGTCTCAACTGGTTTCAGATTGGTTATAAAGCTGTGAGGTCTCAACTGGTATCAGATTGGTTAAAAGGTGTGAGGTCTCAACTGGTATCAGACTGGTTATAAAGCTGTGAGGTCTCAACTGATATTGGATTGGTTATAATACTGTGAGGCCCCTTCTGGTATCAAATTGGTTATAAAGATGTGAGGTCTCAACTGATATTGGATTGGTTATAATACTGTGAGGTCTCAACTGGTTTCAGATTGGTTATAAAGCTGTGAGGTCTCAACTGGTATCAGATTGGTTATAAAGCTGTGAGGTCTCAACTTATTTTGGATTGGTTATAAAGCTGTGAGGTCTCAACTGGTATCAGATTGTTTATAAAGCTGTGAGGTCTCAACTGGTATCAGATTGGTTATAAAGCTGTGAGGTCTCAATTGGTATCAGATTGGTTATAAAGCTGTGAGGTCTCAACTGGTATCAGATTGGTTATAAAGCTGTGAGGTCTCAACTGGTATCAGATTGGTTATAAAGTTGTTGTGGCAATTCTTTTAAGTTTATTTTAGACATACAAGTCAAAATTTGCATCTAAAAGACTTGTAAATGAGAACAGATGTATCCATGAACTATTATTTGAAGTTGTCATTAATATCATAAAAATGTACACATATATATATATATTAAAAAAGGAAGGAAGCTGAGATGACTGTTACATAACTTTGTTTTGCATTGCTCTTGGGGTGTCAGTAATAAGCTATATAGATCACAATAGTACTATAATGTATCACTGACCTAATTACAAGTACATACTATCCATTAATAAAAAAAGTCAGTGTGAGTCACCCATGGTTATTATAACTATCTTGTAATTAGCATGGTTTACTCACTGATGGGTTCTGATTGATGTGTAATGATATGAACTAATTATAGACATGAGAAGTGTGAGGATTTGACCAGCTGGCTTCAGATAAACTATACAAAACATATGTCTTCCCTGGATAATGTAAATATGCCCTCTCAAGTGTCAATTTCTATGTTTAAACACATTGTTATGTGACTGTATTCACTTTGAACTTACATTCCAAAGTGTCTTACTTTAATAAGTTCCAACATGTAAAAACAATGCAGTTGTAGAAATATGTGTACATTTGAAGTTTGATCAAAATAGTTGTCCAACAATATGTTAACATTTCATATGGTATATGAAATCAATGGTTCCGCCTACAGTTCAATTAATAAAAGGCACCTCAGCATCAGTAATTGCTTTAAATAGATAATCATTTGTATGACAAACTTTACAATTTCATCATGATATATGAGTAAGTTTGGAATTACCTGAACAGATGTTGATTTACCTGTGGAAATGTCCTAACATTTAGTGTGATACATATTTTTTGTCATTCTAATTTATTTTAAAGTTTTTGTGACGCATAGAATGTTATGATATATGGAATGGAAAATGAATTAAGTATTCTGTACTGTCTGTTTCATTGATTCTTAGTACAAAAGGAAGCTTTTATGTATAAACAAACTGTTTCCTTTTATATGTAATAAAACAGTCCTATAGCTGCTTATTATAAGGTCATTCCCTAGTCATAAGTATTCACACTCATATTGAGGAAATCCAGTCATAAGTATTCACACTCATATTGAGAGAATGTTTTATTTCCTATTTCCCATACATAAAGTTAAAACAACTCTTTAAAATATTATTATGTATATGAAAAAAAATTTGAATAAACTACATGCACATATGCATGTATTCTTGTTTTGTACAGTACTACATTACATGTTGTAATTATTTTTAGCTCATATGTCCAATAGCATTGCCATCACTTGACATCTGTCTTTCATGTCTTTGATATCCTCTGTCATCTTTAAATTTGTTATTATCTTTTGAAACCATTTGACAAATTTCAACCAAACTTGAACCAATTGATCCTTAGACTATATCAGGTTATATACTATAAATTTGTGTTTTTGTTCCTTCCAATCAACTAGCATGGCCACCATGGCTGAAAATTTAACATAGGGGTAAAATACATTTGTTGTCTAATATCTTGAAAACCATAATAGATTAAAAAAAATCTGACAAGAATAATAATGCTCAAAATGTCAAGATCTACCTACATTATACTTCCCACGATTTGACAAAAGAAACATGCAATTAAAACAATTCAAATGAGAAACTACTGGCCTGATTTATGAACAGAATGTGGTAGGGTTAAGAATGCTTGGAAGCTACCAACCCTTCCATAACCTGGTGTAGCAGCATAACAGATTTTTTCAAAAACTTTGATAGATACATGTAGGTAGTAACTGTAGAACACAAAAATGATCAGCAGTACAAAATATACTTTTGACAGGTGAGAGATTCAGGCTATTTGGAGCCTCTTGTTTACTTTCTAATAGTCAACTTCACTGCTTAAAAGGCATTTGATGACTGTGGCAGTGTGGGTACAGTTCTACATGATTAGTTCTTGCTTTAAATTGGATTGTACATATACTTTGGCTATAGCGGTAATTTATATGAAATATTTCCTATAGATATATACCATTTTATATTTTAGGCCTCTATGGACTTGCCACCAGACAAAGCCAAACTACTCAAGGGATATGATGATGATAAAAAATGGGACCTAATTTGTGATCAGGTTAGTATTGTTTTGTGGTAACATCCTTAAAAAAGTGAGCATTGAATACTCATTTAACTATTCTAACCCTGCCATGTATTTGAGTGTCTGTCTGAACATGGAAGTAATATTTAAAAGGAATAACAACGACTAATAAGCATGTATTAACAGCCTGCAGAGCTTTGTACTAAAGTCATATGATTTTATCCAATTATAGTCTCAGCGTCAAGAACCCTTTGGTTACTATCTGTGATACCGCGGTTGTAAAATGGCATCTGGATTTCTTATCAGTCACGCGTACATCAACGGAATGTAACGAATGGACTATTCGGGTTACTTCGCACGTATATACAACAAAAACTTGTCTGTTCGTAGTTTTCCGTGAACACGAAAATGACCGAAAAGTGTCCGTGATTTGATCAATCACATGCGGAGAATCAACTTCCATGCCAGATATTAAACCAATTAACGAGTTATCGAAAGATGGGCGGTAACGCAGATGAAACCTTTGAAGTGACGACGTTGTTATTCCTTTTAAATATTACTTCCATGGTCCGAAGGAATTCCATCAGTAGTTTTTGTTGTCTTTTCCTGTTTTTTTTTCTCTTGAAATTAAGCAAACAGCAATTAATAAATAATGTTTTCAAAGCGATAGATATTTAGGTTAGGGCTCATCTGTTGTTCGTCTTTCTGTCTTTTGTAAAGATCTGTAACTGCTCCTGAAACGGATGACAGAATTATGTGTAACTTTAAAAAGTCTTTTACTCAGAATTTTATTCACAAAATGTTACTACATGTATTGCACCTGAATTTTATTTCTTCGACTGAGTTATTTTTGGGGCTTCCTTTATCAAAATTATGGTCTTTGATATTGCTTAATCTAGGATGTACCTATTGCAATTTGTGTATCCACAACTTCTCCTAAACCCCCTATTAGAATTAATTTAATCTTTCTCAGAATCTTAACCACATTATACCATAGTTCTCCTATTTGTTTTTGTTTGTTTGTCTGGTTTTTCTAAGCAAATTACAGACTTTGCAGTTGTTTTATATTGTACAGGGGAATCAGTTTTTTAAAGAATTTTCAGTCCGTTAAGCATTATATTCATGACATCATTTCAAGTGATAGCTTGAGAAAAACTGAAATTACTGAAAGTCAGTTTTATTACCTATTTTTCTCTCAACCAATCAACCATCACCAGACTTCTTACTCATTCTCTCATTTTCTGACATTTGACAGACAGTTACTGAAAACATTATCCATAATAAAGTTCTAATCAGGGTAATAAAATGGACAACACCTGGACTCATTTTCCAAGTTCTATATTGCTTAAACCTTATTAATTATATGCAAATTACCATTTATGATTATAAAATGAAGATTAATTTGAGTATTATTAAGTGAGAACCACAGCTGGTGGTTTGATAGCCCATTTATCCTTGGACAGTTTGTCAATATCAGATTTTTCTTCCACAGTATGTTGTGTGTTATCTATTGATACATTCATTGTGAAAAGCAGTACTAAAGGTCCGTTGTCACTATCACAGATTTCTTGTACAAGTTTTCTTTGTTAAAGTTTTTGATGGATTTTTTTATAGTGACAACAGTCAAAGTTTGACGGACTTGGATGGAAAAGAATCTCATCCTGTTTTTCTTTAAACTTGGATGGACTTGGGCGGGAATTATCCAATCACAGTGCTGTCTTCTCTGTCACCAAGTTTTTGATAAAAAACTTTGATCGTGACAACCGCTGACTTGGACCAAGTTTACCTAGTCAAAGTTTTCTGTGACCAAGTTTTTTATGAAAAACTTTGATAGTGACAACAGATGACTTGGACCAAATTTACCTGGTCAAGGAAAACTTTGATAGTGAATACCAGGCTTTACAAACACAGCATCTTTGAATTTACTAAAAAAGAATAAGGGCATATTTTTCATTAAGAGATCCAACTTTTACCTATTATTAAGTGATTTGGTAATTTTTTGGTAAATTAATTGATTTTGAATACATTTTTTTGTAACTACCTGAACTTCATAAATGTCTAGAATTGTAGGCAAAATATAGGTCTAAATCCTTTAAACTAAGTTCAATATTTCAAACACTTTATAATTATCAAATGTTTATAAAATGAAGTAAATACATGTACACAAGTATACGAAGAAAAATTCTTGGTTTCAACTTTATTTGATATATTGCCTGTGATTAAGTGCTGATAGGAAAAGACCACTTGGGAAGGAAATTAGTTACATGAATGAGGACAAAAAATTTCCAATCACTTGACAAATTGACTATTACATTCATATGTACAAAAGTACATACATATGTACAAAAGTACATATGTAATGTCCCAGAATTCATGTTAATTGTTGTAAAATTGATTGTGGTATGAATGATATTAATTATAATGTCTGTGATGAAACATGTTTTCAGACTACTTCTTTACAAGGAAGCTTTTCTTTATCTTGAAAAAGAAATTGAAGAAGAAACTTAATGTATAGGTTAGGTTTAATATATTAAAATTACTTTCTTGTTTACATTGGAGTTGTAAATAGTATGATAAAGTAGTTTTCATACTTAACACAAGTGATAAAATCTTGTTTAAATAAAGTGAATACCCTTAAAGTGTGTAAAAACTTAAATGGATGATATCTGAAAATGAGGTTCTTGTTCCATCCTCAGGGTTAGGTTGTACAAATGTCACATTGACCTATTAAATCTTTGTAGAGGACCAAATAACCTTGTATGATGAATTAAGTGCATAGTCTGGGCATATTTTTGTTACCATTTTCATTTGGTGTAGTCAAAAGTAAAAAATTGATTAAGCTTCTGAAAAATTATAGGACTGTTATAGCTGTAAAATGCTATATTATAAAGCTGCTAAACATTACCTCTGAACTAAAATATACTACATGTATTAAAAAAAACTCCTTTACTGTTCTACATGATATACATTATAGAACAGGTTTTGTGTAATATACTAAGTGGTCATCAAAATAGTATATATATTTTAGAAAATAAAATATTTCATTTGAAAGATTTCCAGGCATCAATTTGGAATATGAAAGTAGCAAATTTAGTTTACTGGCGAGTGTTAACAGATCCAGTAAACGAAAGTTTGCTACCTTAAAAAATGATGCCCCCAAATCTTTTAATACAACTCCATTCATGCTATTGCAACTTAGAAAAAAAACACCACTAAATCATACATCTTCAAATCAGTCACATGACGTCAGCATTTGCAAGCACAATTTCAGAATATTAATCTTGTAGTTGCTGCTCTGAAATTCATTTCATTATCCAATCAAAATTAATGTTACAATATAAAATAAGAATATTTGGTTTGATTGGCAATCACTGAATTACAGGCTCCTGGCTTGGGACAGGCACATACAGAATGTGGCGGGGTTTAACATGTTTGAAGGCGCCAACCCTCCCCTAACCTGAGACAGCGGTGTAACGTCACAACACAAGATCAAACTATGCAAAACAATAAACGAAAAACTAAAATGAAACGTAAAAAAAAAAACCACAGCCACTCAATCACAGGCTCTTGACTTGGGACAGGCACATACATGTATAGAATGTTAGACTGATAATAATTCAATGGACTGATTGTAGCATCATACTTCCTTGCTGAAGTTTTTTGACTGTATGTATTAGATGCACCTTGAGGGCATTAGCCTGAATGGGTGCATCTAATTTTCACCAAGATATTATTGTCAATGCAGAATGATAGTTTTCAATAATTTAGGAGGGGGGTCTTTCAGCATTTTGATCATATGTTATTGAAAAGCATGATAAATGCAGGGTATCTAATTTCATTTAATAACTTCTTGGTGTAAATTACTATATCAATTGTTATTGATGATATGTCATTAAAATGATTTCTTTCGTAAGAAATTACAATAAATTTTTACTTTGTCGATTTATTTTAGTTATATAAGAATATATTTAGTTACAGAAGTGTGCCTAAATGCAAAGGGATAATAAATAAAATAAGGGCCATAAATCAGTGACCATTTCACAACACTTTAAAATGCTGAACTTTTCTGATTACATATGACAGTATAAATTTTAATATTAAAGTCATACTGATCATCTCTTATTTTTAATAAACTTTTCTGACTTCATATGACAGTATAAATTTTAATATTAAAGTCATATTGATAATTTCTTATTTCTGATGAACTTTTCTGACTGCATATGACATTTCTGACTGCATATGACAGTATAAATTGATATTAAAGTAATATTAAAGTCATACTGATAATTTCTTATTTTTGATAAATTTTTCTGACTGCATATGACAGTATAAATTGTAATATTAGTCATACTGATAATTTCTTATTTCTGGTGAACTTTTCTGACTGCATATGACAGTATAAATTATAATATTAACGTCATACTGATAATTCCTTATTTCTGATGAACTTTTCTGACTGCATATGACAGTATAAATTGTAATATTAGTCATACTGATAAGATCATCCATGTAAAGATCATACTAATTAAACACAACAGTAGTCTTATATCTATGACCTTATCAAAATTATTGTTAACTTATGCATGTTATATATATTATGAAGGTTACATAAATATCACAGGTATTTAACATCATATTCAGATCAAAGAGAAATAATTTGCATGCCAGGCAAATTTGTCAATCATTAAAAATATGAGGGGTTCTAGACTAATGTTCAGGACTCTCAGGAAGATACAAAAGTGTATATTAGAGGTCATGACCTATAAGTATTAGATACAACTTGAGAGCTTTAGCCCCAAATGGATGTATCTAATTTACACCAAGATAATATTGTCAATGCAGAATGATAGTTTTCAATAATTTAGGAAAGGGGGGGGGGGGGGTCTTTCAGCAATTTGACCATATGTTATTGAAAAGCATGTTAAATGTAGGGTATCCAATTTCATTTAACGGCATCTTGGTGTAAATCAATTTCCATTTGTTGTCTGTTTTTAAATATCTTAAAAGAAAAATAATAATATCTCTTTGCTTAAAAT